TAAAAAACCTGCATAACCTTATAGCACCTCTTGTGTTTAAATTTTCTGTAGTTCTGGCAAACTCGAACAAGTTTTGCATTTCTGAGGAACGTTTTGCCAAAATATAGGTTATGGCACATGTCAAGCCAGAGAAAGTGAGCAGTTTGATAGAAAATGTCAAGTACGACTGAACAACGCCCGTAAAAGCGCCCCTAATGACTCGGGCGGGAGGGGGAGGCTGGGTGGGGAAGGGAAACTCTGAAATTGAGCAAAGAGGACCTAGCCCTAAGCACACCGCCTGCTTTTTAGTTGTCCGTTTCCCTTGGCAATAAATTTTACCCACAGTGTCGAGCAACTCTTTAAAGGAGATTGCAAGCCCTTATATTTGGGCCCGTCAGGAACGCTCAGCGGTGAAACCAAAGATCGCGGCCTCAAAAAACTTATTTTAACTTACTGAAAACTGTTTTTTCTTGACCTATTTACCTTATCGTTAGGAAAGAAGAAAAGGAATCTCATAATTAGCGTATGTATAAAACTATCAAGAAATCTCGAAATTCTGGGTTTTCTAAGAGAACAAATACTTTCGAAAAATTTAGGAGAAAGTCCGTGGACTGGAAATAACTCGCTATCAATTATCCCGAAGATATCCGAATATCTCACTTTTCAAGCCCACGTTAATTCGCTTCATTTTTAAGGGGAGCCAACATTAGCCGCGCCACTGTTATTTTTTTTTGCGCCTGGGTATCTCACGTTATGCTTACGCGTATCCGCAAGTGTGTCTTACATGTATCCTACGCTTACGTAAAGGTTATATACCTGGAACGATGGGGTATGTGATATATTCACCTGGTACCGCCCCGAGGGCTACGTGTGTAAGACTGTTCCTTTTCAGATTTTCAATAGCAATGCAAAAAACAATAACTTTTAGTTAGTGCAAACGGCCTTTCCTTCTCTTTTGTTTTCGTTTCCTTTTTTTCTCAAAAAACGCAGTTTTTTTTTCAAGGTGCGAGGGGCGCGATCATTGGTTTCACCGCTCCAGCGTTCCAGACGGACGCAACTATACGGCTTGCAATCTTCTTTAAAGAGTTGCTCAAAAATATGAGCGAAATTTATCTCCAAGGCAGACTCACAGCTAAAAGCGCCAGACGGTATGGTTAGACCTAGGTCCCCTTAGCTCCATTTCAAAATTCCCCCCCCTTCCCCTGCCAGAATCATTAGGGGCGCTTATACGGGCGCGGTTCAGTCGCATTTGACATTTTCTATCAAACTGCTCACTTTTTTCTGGCTTGACATAAGCCTATATTTTTCCCAAACGTTGCTCAGAAATGCAAAACTTGCTCGAGGTTGCCAGAACTACTGAAAGCTTTGCTTTTAACACCAGAGGTGCTCTAAAATTATGCAGGTTTTCTAGCCCCGCTATGTCCAGTTTGAAATGTTCTGCGTTTCTTCGCCCCACCCCAAAACGGGCTGCCACCCCTTAGGGGGTGGAGGGAAGGGACGGATGGCATTTAAGACTAGGAATTAGCACTTTTTTCCCCCTAAATGTCATTTTTCTAAGGATACAAGTAAGGAATTCATAATCGTATTTCAAAATGTGTAAGCAGGCGTTTATGGAAAGTAAGAGAATATAAGGGCCAACCACTTCATAGTCTGTTGTGCGAAATATGTTTTTTCAGTCTTACGTTTTCATAATCGCTCTAGTGGATAAGTCAGTGAAACTAAAGATTTTGATCATTTACATGTTTTGCTTTTATAGTTACAGAGGGCACCGCGTGAGTGTCTTTTTCGGAATGGTATCTGTCTTCAACCTGGGTCTCAAAGTCCTTTGTCACGCAATCTCATTTCGTTAAAGGCAGTAAAGGATTCGGTTCTGTTGTCAAATAATGTGAGGTAGGTCAAAACGTTTTCCTTTTTTATAGCTATAACGATTTGGTTCATGAGAAATGAGAGCATTTTTAAAGAATAGCTACCGACACTAAAGCCGTTTTGTAGATATATGATAACAGTTACAGATACGGCAAAAGTAAACAAATACGCACGTAAAGGAAGTGTTGTAGTCAAAAGTTCATAGCACACTTTCGCACAATAAAATTGCTTTTCCTTTTGAAAATTTACCACTGTGAAATCTAAAATCGCTTTTGGTGTTTAAACGGGCGGAAAAGGGGCTAATTTGCGCCAGAGTTTCAAGTGCTGTCTAAGTTCTCGCTTGTATTCATCAAAACAACTGCAAGTTCAGAGGTCGTAAATCACGCGAGTACCGTAAATGTTTTCCGTTGTAAAAACTCGCAGTTTCAATTGCCCCAGAATTTTATTTCACAGATTGATAGGGGAAACATTGCTCTTTCTCTGGAATACCATTTTTCTAATGAAAGCCATGTACCAGGAAGTGATTTTCGCCGTTGAAAAATGGCAAAATTGATGGTCGCGATAATGCTGATTTAGAGGGTAATTTTGAAAAAATATTAAAAAATCAGATTGAAATCTTTTGAAATTGTAACAACGTTTAGGTAGAAAGGAAGGATCATAACGTTGTTTAATGTAAGAAAAGTTATGGTATTAGTTTCCATTTCCATTCACAAAGCGAGGGTATCAAGCACATTTTTCGGTGGTTTGAAGGCCTCTCGAAGGTGAAAATTAAAAAAAAATTATTATTTTGGAAAATATTGAGTCAAACGATCTGAGTCTTGTATTTTCTAAAATAGTTTCCAAAGGGCTTTGTTGTGACAAAGTTTGGGGGATTTCGATTTTTCCATCTTGCACACCTATCCGTGGTATTTACAGAAAGTCGCTCTTAAAAAGTGCTCGTTTTTCAGTAATGGTTCAGTCTTTCTTCGCATGTGTGAAAGACATTATCACTGATGCTATTCCAAAGCTTGGCCTCACAGGAGGTGGATTTCTACACATGTATTCAATGTTTTCTGGCCTAAGTTCTTTGGGTTCAAATGTGGATCCATTACTTGCTGTGCTTTTTTTTGCAACTAAAAAGGTTTGATGTTGTTCCCGAGGTTTCTGCGGGACAATTGCGTCGGCATCAACAGTCATTTGAATCATCTTAGCAGCTCTTGAGCAACCACCCAAGACCACTTTCTTCTTCCCACTGCCTGGTTTAAGCACAAGGAGACGAAGTTTCTTTACATTTTCTGGCTCAAAATATTGGTCTGAAGGACACGGCTTCTTTTTCTTAGCCTCAGAAATACATGGCACTGAGTCAGTCACTTTTGCAGTTGACTGATTGTAGTTCAACATATTTACTCATTGACTTCGCCATTTGCTTTCCTTGTTTCTTTTTTCTCCATTCTTTTCTCTGTCTGTTTCTTATTTCTTAAGTTTTTTTTTTATTTTAATAACTCGCTCTTTTCGTTTTTCTTGAGGTTCAAAATCCTTCACAAATTCCGTTACAATTATGAAGTTAACCAATCTGTTTTGGCCAGATCATTACACAAATGAGCTTGTGATTGGTGTAATAGTACAAAAGAAATCCCTGTTGTTGTACAGGAAATTCACTGCTCATTTTTAAAAACTCGTTGACATGTGAAAGCCAGAGTTGCTTCTCGGTCCTTTCTGGTTTGCTTTCATAATGTGACATTCTTTTGACAGAAGTGTGTCGGAAAAAAAACACCTTGCTAGGATCATACGTGGCAACACCTGCAGCGCCTTAACTAATGCCAAAAAAACTCCATACAATTCCTTATAATAAAATTATAAGGAATTGTATTGAGTTTCCAGGATACTTACAGTGCAAGCCCTGTATGTCCTCTTGTGAAAGAACACAAGCCATTTGCCTTCGCAGTTGGTTCCTGAAACAAGCGCTGGAAATAGCAAGATCTACATAAATGAATGTCTGACTAACTACTGTAAAACACTCTTCGGACAAATAAAGGAGTACAAGCAGAAGAGCTATGTGAAACTTTTGTGGACCAGTAATAGAAAGATCATGAAGAAAGGGAATGAAGGATCTGCAACTGAAGCTTTTACAATGCATGTGGAATTTGAAGATTATCTTGACCAGATAAGCAATAGAGAGTAAACTAGAGTAAGTGTGATATTTTGACGTTCAAATTCAATTGCATGAGCACATTACAGTTATTACTCTTTTATGAATTAGATGATAGGGAATTTAGCTTCGGGAAAAAAATTCCCTCTAAATTAAAAAAACTCCCGTATGTATATCTTCATAAATGATTTATTTTATTCCTTCAAAGAGGCGCAGCTGTCTAACTATGCTGATGGTAATCAGCTGTATTTGCTGATACTGATCCGGCTGTTGTCGAACATGTTCTCAATAAGGAACTTTTGGTGGTGTGTAAGTGGTTTCGTAATAACAAGATGATCTTGAACCCTGAAAAATGCAAGGCGCTGTTTCTCTCGCGAAAACCTAATGTCTAGCTATCACTATTTGCTGAAGGTGTTGCCTAACTACTAGTTGATACGGTAGATCTGTTTCGTACGGTGGCCCATAAGGGACATAAAAACCCAGCTATTTATTTCGGGAAATTTGAATGGTAAAACGTATTATTTTTAGGTTTGGGGTCTTATTTTCAGACCTATAATTTTTTTTTTCAAAACGCAAGTTTTTTTTAAAAGAAAAAAAACAGATTTTTTTCAAAACTCATGTCTTTTTTTTAACTCAGATTTTCTTTTCGAAACTCAATTAAAAAAAAAAAAAAACCCAGATTTTTTCAAAACTCGGGTTCTTTTTTAAAACTCATGGTTTTTTTTAAACTCAGATTTTTTTTTTTCAAAACTCAGGTTTTTTTGACAAACCCCAGATTTTTTTCAAAACTCAGGGGTTTTTTTTCAAACTCAGAGGTTTTTTAAAAACCCAGTTTTTTCTTGCCTTGAACAATGCGCATGCTATATACCTGCTGATCACGATTGCTGGCTCAAAGAAAATGAACAAGATGGCGTTGATGAGCAAAATGGTTTTATCTTTATTATATTTCATTTTATGCCTTTCACGAGGAACGAGCATAATGCCTTCATACATTCCTGTGACGTAAGGGAATTCTGACCGTAATTCTTTGATTGAATGTTATTTCAATCTTGGATTGGACTACTCAGAAATCCTAAGTTTCCTTCTTCTCGTACACGGAATACAACTCAGTATTCGTCGGTTGAAAAGGGTACTTTTTTCAAAAGGGTTACGTAGGAGAAGAAATCACAGTCAGCCCCAAGAGATCATCGCCGCGATTGAAAGAGAGCTTGAAGGGTCCGGTAGCTTGATTGGATATCGACAGATGCACCAAAGACTTCGAACTGACTATGGCTTGGTGGTCAGCAGAGAGACGGTTCGGCTTACTTTGAAAACACTTGACCCTACGGGAGTTGAGAAGCGATGGCAACACAAGTTAAAAAGGAGGACATACTCAGCCAAGGGACCTAACTTCATATGGCATTTAGACGGTTATGATAAACTAAAACCTTTTGGTTTAAGTATTCATGGAGCCATAGATGGCTACAGCCGACGCATACTATGGCTCAAGGTAGGAGCATCAAATAACAATCCACGAATCGTGGCACGTTATTTCTTAGACTGTGTGAAGCAACTGGGTGGCGTTCCTCGAACAGTACGGGGTGACAGAGGAACTGAAAATGTCAACGTCGCAGCAATGCAACGTTTCTTTAGGAGAGATGGTACAGACTCGATGGCTGGAGAGAAAAGTTTCCTTTACGGGCGCTCAGTCTCCAATCAAAGGATCGAGGCTTGGTGGTCTTTTCTACGCAAGAATGATACTGATTGGTGGATCAATTTTTTCAAAGATCTAAGGGATGTTGGCTTATACTGCGACGATGATCCATTGCATGTCGAGTGTCTACGGTTTTGTTTTTTGCCTTTAATACGGGAAGAACTCAACCGTATTGCACAACACTGGAACCTTCACAAAATCAGACCATCCCTAAATCAAGAATCTCCTCCTGGGCCAGAATTGAGAGAGGCAATAAGTTACCTCCATACTATTGATGAGGACGCCACGGTGGTTGCTGAAGAAATGTGCTGTGACAATGCCATAGCTCCTTCTGACGACACCTTTGCAGAGCTTGCAGAAATGGTAATGGAAGAGTATAATTTGCAAATGCCAAGCACTGCCTCTGAAGCCTCCATTCTTTACAGTGAACTTCTTCATCATATCGACAGCATGATGTAAGGTAGTGTCATGCATGTCAAAAAGAGTACTTTACGAGCCCTTGTTTTCATGAGTAAGGCATGGAAACTAAGTTTCAATAGTTCAATTTGGTGCGCTCCTCAGGCCTCCTGCTTTTATCTTTTTCGCGCTGCTATCTCTTAAGAAAGACTCGCCCTCGTTTTCAGGTTTTCGATATCCCATGTAAGTGTTAATAATTTGAATCGTCCTTGTAGGAATGAGAAATGGTACGCGTATCGACCTAAGAAACTGAAAACATTGGCAAGAGTGGATCTAGTAAACCTGCAACCCAGATTTACTAAAGCAAAATTAGTTTCCCATGTAAATGTTCAAGTTTATTATTCTGAGTTTAGATATGAAATTATATTTGACGTTAACCTGCGACCAGGCGTTTTCTTAAACGTTTAAGGACTGTAAGTTGTCATGTGCGACAAAAAGACCCGAGGCAACCGTGAAGGAACCTTTATTATAAGTTAAAAGGGACTATCATGGTAGCAAACGTACCAAACGTGAGAGTAAAATGTCACTTGAAAATTGAAGCAGAAATTCGTTTTTGAAAAAAACACAAATTTACGGACGTTTGTATTTTTGTTGATACAAACGTCTGTAGATGGTTTAACTTTCAAAGGCATCGTTTGAATCCTGTAACTTCACAAGTTAAATAAATCGACTTGTCCTTTCTACATATGATCTGTTTGTTTACCGGGTGAATTTCAATTTTTTAAGATGTAATAGCTGCGATTACAGCCGCCTATCATCGCTCCCCGCCACTGGCAGGACGTTTTAAGATGTAAACAATGGCGTCAGTGAGGAGTAAATTAAACATGATCAAGGCAAAAACATTGTCTTTAATGATCAATTTCAACTTGATTTGTGCCCAGTTTGCAAAATAACTGGACCCAATTCTAAAGAGGTATACGAAGGCAAAAAGCGATCAACTAACAGTGATAACTCAACAATGTTAAAAACGTTTCTTCTGTTTCATAACAGCAGATATATATATATGATTGAGAAACGGTCATTTGTGTTTTGACCCTGTCGATGATATACAGGTATGTTTACATCTAAATCAAGATCAATGACCCAGTCTAGTTTTCTTTTAAACAAACTTGAACAACACGTTACAGACGTGATCGAAACTGGCTCCCAGTACCTACAGCGATGAGAAGAAACGGGGGGATTACACCTTATTCGACGTATTACCGCTCCCCTAGTGATGACCTTATCTGTCCTTCCCTTAAAAAGTTAACTAAACTGAAACAAGTTATAGATGTGATTAAGTCACAACAGTAACAATAACGTAAACAATAATAAGGAGCAGGGAGGGCGATACAAATAAAAACGGAGCCCCAAGAGAGGGGGTGGGGAGCTCCCACATAAAAGTGATGGGGTACCTTTCAGGGTATAAAGGAGCTAGAGATTGAGGATAGTGCTCTACTTTTCAGAGGTAGATAAAATTACAAAAATGGCAGTTCCTGTTTTAAAGATATTTTGGCGACAAGGAGTTCCTTTTACAATCTCCGACAAGCACCCCCGTCACTTTTACATGGAAATCCTCCCAGACTATGACCTAATCTGTCTCTTCATTCAAGGTAAATAACATGGATCTGTTGGAAAAAAGCTTTGCACTGGTACAGAAATTTTAGCAACAAAATCAAGGTATTTTCGCATCCCTCCCCAACTTATGAGTTATGACACAAAAGGTCTAAGGATAAACTGAACTGGACCAACAGTCTTTGTTCACTAATGATGCACGATGTCCATCAAAATTAAGGTTCAAAGAGGGCTATCAGGATAATATGTTCTATGCTGCTATGGGTTGGAGTACAAATACTGTAGACAGCATGCATTTCTTCAGCATTAACACCATCCCAGAATGATCCCATTCCTTCCCTTAACTTGGTGATGCACATGAACGGCTTGGAAATTAGCTCTGTTTCAGATACTTGAAGTATAAGTTGCTTCATATTTGAGGTACATGGAATAGCGGTGATACCATAATCTGCGAGAATATCTATCACATCTTCGGTTGGAAATGGTTTCACACCAAGGAGGGCTTGTTGAAGGATTTCTCTTTGTTTTTCATGGAGCAACATTAGGAGGGATTGCACCGAACACTCTTCTGATACCCGTCCGGTTACGGCTTGCTGTATTATAGCTTCCACTATCTGCAGCGGAAGTGTCCCAGTCTTGATGAACTGATGTGTTAAAATGCGACCTACAGCAACAAAGTCATCTTGTGACATGGCAGCAGTGACAGAAAACGTGAAGTGAGAGGATCCCTCGCAGTAACTGGAAACAAAACTGTCCCAAAATACAGAGTACACCTCTCTGAGCACACCACTACCAACTGCATGTTCACCTTTAAATAAAAGGCAAAGCTTACTGTCAGCAACGCTTTGCTGCCTGAAAAGAGTCAACATATTGTTGACACAATTGTGTCGACTGACCTCCCTGACTATCTCCAGTTCGTTTTCAAACTGTTCCTTTACACTTCGACGTTTAGCATTTAGGCCTTCCAGTATCTGAATGTTCACTTGCTCACTGGTGGAGACTTCAGGATCATCTTCCAAAAGCTGCGCTGGGGGATGCGACTGGACCTATTCAAGTTGTTTGTAAGTGTCGGCTGCTACACCACCATTGAAATATTCAGTTGCTGCTTCCAACTCGTAATCGGACAAAGTGTCATCAACACTGTCGTTAGTGTCGGGTTGAGCATTAAAAACCGCAACTTCGTCATCATCTCTGCACAAAGAGATGGGGAACTGTTGTTCCGACATACAATGGACTGATGATGTAACAGACTTAATGTCATCTTCGGGGCAAACAATGCGATAAGGGCTGCTGAAACAGAGAGCAAAATGTTGCGGACGGGTGAACAGTGACCCCACCCAATCGTACAACGCCATAACTGTGTAGTTGGGTGGAAATGCCCTCCTGAGGACACCAAGGGTAGGGTGTCGCACAGAGACCATCACACGTGGCTCTTGTAATGCTGGTTTGGGCAGGACACGGTTCATCCTTGACATTTAAAGTGATTCTATCCGGATGCTTGCTTCCTTTTCCAGTTCTTTTTCTTTATCTGCTGCTAGAGATGCCTCGTAATCTGCCTGAAGCTGATCCATAAATACTCTACATTCTTCAGATGTCCCGATCAATCCATCCATAGCATGTTCAACTAAAAAGCTACTGTGCACTAAAGGCTCTGCAGAGGCTCCGCTCAAGCAGGCTGCAACAGGCTGGTTCTTCTCCTTTACCGAGAATACAAGCTCTTCAGGCTCTTGAGACCTACTGTCTTCAAATGGAGACTTCTTCAATTCCTCGTCATCTGACTCCTCTGATGAAACTGTGCCGTCTCTACTGAGAAGGAATAATCAGGGAGTATGCAAACCGTATCTTTGCTTATATCTTTCAGGCGAAAAGTCGTCGCACCTGTAAGTGGTCTGACACTTGAAATCGGCAAGCTTAAATTCCATGTCATCTGCCTTTCCGACTAGACTTTGGCCATCTGGAAAGAAAATCTTTTTCAGCTCTAGAAGACATTCATTTGGTGTGGCATGTCTTGGTAGGTCCAAATTTCGTACTCCACCACCCTGTTCAGACCTCTTGGCTTTATAACCAAAACCTTTGACATAGTGCTTCCACCAGATTTCAAATTTGAGAGTGGCTTTCCTTGCACCTGTAGGTCTTCTCCTTCTTCTTCGCTGTTGTCTTGGAAAGTCTACTACTCTTGGAAGCCTCCATAATTGCAGATAGTTTCCTCTTCATTTCAGCTCTTTTATCATCTTTGAGCTCACTTTGTCGTTGGCAGAATGCTCGAAGTTTCACTCTGTCTCCCACTGCTGAAATGCCCATGTCACTTAACTCCTTATCGGACATAATGGCTATTGCAGCTTTATCAACCTGTTTATATGTAGAGATAATAGTGTGTCAGTCGTTATCATAATTATATTTAATTGTTATTATCATTTTTTTAACCTTTTACCTGCACATTATTTTTTAGTATAAAATTTTTTACCTGCTTGTAAATTTTATTCATTTTTAGTCTTTGTAACTTATTGTGAAGCGCAATTGATCATGTTCCATGAAAAGTTGCGTTATATAAGTTTTAATTAATTGTAATTGTAATTGTAGGAACAGAAATGGCGCAGAGGATTATTGACGATCCCATTCGAGTTACCGCTGGCTACTTTCAATTTTTTCGGATCCAAAGTACCTGGTTTTAGATAAGATTCAAAGAATCCACCTTCGATATGGGTCATTTTGATAAAAAAATCCGTTTTTGGAGTAAAAAATCCGAATTTGGATTTTAGTAGAGAAACACACCCCAAAAGTACCATAAACCTTCTGTTAAGCCCCTGGGAGATTATTCCATACTCCTAGGTGGTGGTACTAAGGCGGGGTGGCTTGTTTCATTAGAGGGGCACTGTCAAAGACTATGCAAGACTATACAAGGCTATAAAAGGTCACTAATTCAATTGCTTCAGCACATGGCATTATGAGAAATATTGCAGTAAGCTGAGCCTATAACCTTATATGCCAGAAGAAAAATCACAAGTTGGGATCTTTTGGAGGTGATATTTAGAAAGATTTTCCAAATAGGTAAATGTGGCACTTGTTATTCGTACTGCAATGATGTAGTGTTATAGAACATTATAAATATGTATGTCAATTTGATTATGCAAGCTGGGATTGCATAACGTGCACCAGTATGATAGAATATATTTTTTAATCTTTTGAGAATTACCTTTTCACGTCGGAACTTTTCAGCAACTTCACTACTCAGCCCCAGGGTAGATTCTAGGTAATGTGTTACCTGAAAGAGACAGGAAAATGGTGATCTGCTAACTCGAGTTACATTTACATTATAACAGTACAGTATTCTCTCATGCATAGAGCATGAATGGTATGAAATCGGAAGAGTTCTAAGTGTATAATGCACAGGTTACCCAAGTTCACAGCTTTATATCATTAAAATGTGTATTTGCATGGCTTCGTTGCATGGCTGTGTAAAACCTTGCTTTTTTGCCTTTTCAAGAGCATTTATAAAACATACACAAAAGTTTACAAAGGTCACAGGTAAATGCATCCCCCCAGAGAATCAGAATTGTTCTCATATCCACGTGAGGAAGCCATATGAGGATAGCATGTTTGCCTACAACAGCTATTTTGACTCAATTTAAGGCTATGTGGCGTTTTCTTCCAATAACTGTGCCGGCCTAAGGGTTGATGAGTTTTGACTATGACTGGGTCCAAAGGTACAAAAAAACAATTGGGAAAATCATTGGTATTGATGACCTCATTTTAAAATCCGCTTCGAACCTTGTAATTATCAAAATATAGCAATGAACAAGAAACAAGCATTGAAACAAACTCATGAAAATAGCTTTCGATCACCTGCAAATAAGGCCGAATCACCACAAACAAGAAAGGATAGACACAGAAGGAATAGACACCATTCACACAGAGTAAAGTATTTTATCCCCAAAATTTCATTTCAATAATGATTTAGCAGGCTTCATCCTTTCATTTGCTTTTCCAGTTTGTCTGTTTGAGGAATTATACACTGACTCTAGAAGGCATTTCATATAAAGTACAAAATTAAAAAGCAAGAATTAACTTGCAACAAGGAATAATCTGTTCAAAATAGGAAGGCATATAGTGGCAGACCCAGCCAATGAGCATAACCTTCATCATACAATGATTGTTTGTCACACGTCACTGTTAATTTTTTCTCCAGGATCTTTGCTTCTTTCAGCCAGAAACTGTTAGGCAATCATCAATGTAAATGTGAACAAGGCAACCCAATCAGAGAGCTTCTCCTAACAGTCCTGCATTGTGCCAGACAACCAGATCAATTTGACCACCCATGACCCCCGTTATTTTTAACAACTTCCCCTCACCCCCTCCTCCCCCCTTCAAAAAAAATAAAAGTATTTATTATGCATCTCCTTAGCAGGCACTTTTCGCCTGTAGAGAGAATAATATTTGCCTATGGAGAAGATTATAATTATTATACTGGGCATCCTGAAGAAAACTATCTGCCTGTGGAGAAGATAACAGGGACCTTATAACACCTAAAATGTTCATGGCACAGAAGTCAATAATACACCCCGGAAATGGGCTTATTCCTATCCAAGTCTTCTGTCTTCATTGTGACATGCAATTATGTAAAAAGAAAATTTTCCTTTTCTTTGTGAGGAACTGCAGCACGACATAAAATTAAAACACCACACCTTTTGGTGGCTGAATGACATCCAAGACATCAACATTCTTGTTCCTTAAGGTCCTTAACATTACATTGGACATCCTGAGGCAATTCTATTTTGTACTTTGTTTGGTGTTATGGAAATTATTGTTGGTTAGCTATTGTGTTGTGGTGTGGGTATTGTTTATTGTTTTTAGTATTACATCATTTGATGATAGCACCAAATGCAACACCAAGAAACTTCCATTCTTCTCAATCCCCATAGAAATAAACATACAATATAATCCGATATCGGTCTATCATCCCATTCATGGGAGGACTAGCAATACTGAGTCAAGACACATGTTGAAAGTAAAGAAAAAGTGAATGAATTTTTTTAGCTATGAAGAACAAGAGTTTTGTTGTTAATAATTATTATTAACAACAAAACCCTCGTTCTTCTTGTTACAATGCAAGTTTAGACAAGTCCTATCACATTGGGTTCCCAAATTGGGTTTTGGTGAAGATTTGATAATTTGGCCCAAAGAAAAAAAGAAAACAATAAGAATACTCTACTTTCAGAATGCCCAGCAGTGTAAACAATATCAAAGTACAACAGCCTGGCTACATTCCAAACCATTGCATTGAAAAGTAAGTAAATGTTTAATAAAAAAATGAAATGCTAACTGCGCTACCCACATGCCACGTGAGTGAAAAATAATTGATGATAAGAACTTTTTTTTAATTCTTGCTGAAATTTTGCAGCTGGAATGTCATAACTATCGTCTTTTCTTTTCCTTGCTTTTTGGAGAGGCAAGGTTATCTAGGTTAAATCTCAAACACGTTTCTTCATCTCAAAGGTGTACACAAAGCTCCTGCACAGACAAATACAAATAGTAGAGTTATTGATGAAGAGGTGATTCGGTACAATTTTACTTGACAGTGTTTTAATGCCAGGGCTTAATAATGATAATAATAATAATAATACATAAAAAGGCAGGGTCACCACAACAGATAAACCAATTACTGTGGGCCCGAGTGTCATCAACAAGGTAACAAACAAAAACAACAGCTTTCATGCAAGGTGAGAAGACAAATAAAAAAGACTGTATTTCAAGAGTGCGTGACCTGGCCGAGTGACAAAAACGCGACAGGACCAACAGGCGGCAGCTGTGACTTCATGATACCGGGATTCAAAGCCTCTGGCCTAGCTAACACATGTTATTTGTTATTTATATTTCCTCCATTCACAACGTTAACAATATTATTTACGTGTTGCATATAAATTAATAGACTATAAAATATCAAAATATATACTAAATTGTAGTGCTGTATTGTAGCTTATTACTTAGGATGAATTTAAAGATTAATTACTACACACACACATACATACACTTCGCAGCAATAAGCTAAAGTCCCATGCATAACAATGATGTAGAAAATGCAGAAAGAAACATAGGAAACCGCCATCATTATCTTCTTCACATACATGTACGAAGTTTCTTCACTAGTTCACTGGTTTTCCTCCCTTCTTAAAAACCAAAATGTTTGATCTGTGTTGTGTCGAGGGACACAGTTTTATTGGCGTTATTAGTCGTAAGCGTATTAGCTTTAAACAAAGACAGAACGTACTTACCTCTTGTAATGACTCTTGTCCCGCCATCTTGGACTTCACGGCCAGTCTATTTTGAGCCCGCCAAAAGAATACTTGCGGTATTCGCCAAACTCCCGCCACAAAAAAACCCTGAGTTTTGGAAAAATCCTGAGTTTATAAGAAAAACCTGAGTTTTCTTATAAATCCTGAGTTTAAAAAAGAACCCGAGTTTTGAAAAAAATGTGTTTTTTTTTTTCAAAAAAACTTGAGTTTTGAAAAAAAAATCTGAGTATAACAAAGACATGAGTTTTGAAAAAAAAACCCTGAGTTTTTAAAAAAAAAAAAAAAAAACATGAGTTTTGAAAAAAACCCTGAGTTTTGAAAAAAATCTTTTTTTTTTTCTTTAAAAAAAAAATGCGTTTTGAAAAAAAAATTATAGGTCTGAAAATAAGACCCCAAACCTAAAAATAATACGTTTTACCATTCAAATTTCTCGAAATAAATAGCTGGGTTTTTATGTCCCCTATGGGCCACCATAGTTTCGGCTAACATTGGACGATTCCCTGAATTTTGGAAAACACATTACGCAAAGAAACTAGATGTTCTTTGTAGACTAAAGAATATATTATCGTTTCGGACCAAACTCTGCTTTTATAGTTCGTTCATAATGTCTCATTTTGATTACTGTTCCTCCA